CAACTCGGGCTTGTCCCCTGCTGCAAGCAGTAGGTTGCCTGCTCCTCCCAGCAGCTCTGACGCACCCGCCCCTGGATTCACCAGTGTGCCAGGGCTCACGGCCACCATGGGGGGTGCCGCGGCGCCGCCGCCCGGGTCATTGTTGTCCGGCTCCTGGCTGAAGGAGAGGCGTCGCCTCTGGGGGCACGTCTCGGAAACGCAGAGGTGCTGCGTTCCGTTGGCGCGGGTGTGCTTGTGCCGTGCCAAGTTACGCCGATGGAGGTCAATGAAGAAGAGCGTGAGGCTACCGACCAGCACGCAGGTGGAACTGAAGTAGTAACCTGCCTTACCACCACAGCCCACATTGATGTAACCTGTAACACAGCCCTCTGAGTGTTGTCATGCCAACAGCATGCAGCATAGCCCTGGAGTAGGCAGATAACAAGTTCAACTTTCTATGGAGTATTTAGAAGTGGTACAATCTAAGATTGTGAAATTAGACGAGATCTGGAAAAAACAAAATTACAAAATTAAGAGCTACGAAAGCAATTTCAAGATGCTCATGGCCTGAGCATCTCTGAAGTGAGACTGAAAGTTGCCTTGCGGTATCGCACGATGACCAATGGGTTTCAGTTGTACTACGGTGATGATGGTTTGTTTCGCGTTTGTGGTGTGAACTGCACTCGAGTCTCAATACTAATGCATTTGGCCATGGACAGTTCTAAAAATCTGTTAGGACACACATGTAAACGCACTCGCGAAGATGACAGGGTCGAACAACATTCCACAAGTTCAGAATAAACTTAGAGAGAACTGAAAAATATACCGAGATCCTCACCTGATATGGGCACCCCAATGGCAATTGGAATAGCCTGTGAGCACTGCACAAAGCCCCACGTACGCGCAAAGTTGCGTGCCCTCACCCGCTCATATGTGTACATCTTGAGGGAGTAGTGATACCTGTAGAGCAAGCAGACACAGTGTCTCAGTCTCGTAACAAATTTCTTTCTACCCAAAATTCTACACTTTACGTTTTGTTTCCACAGAAACATTCTTTACCAATGAAACCACATGAAGCGAAGAGGAAGAAGAAGAAGAATAAAAGGAGAGAGAGAGAAGAAGAAGAAGAAGCTTGTCCGGATATCTAAAATTCTTCGGGGTAACACACTGTATCATTCATATCAGACGACTGAGAGCGGGAACTCCACGCACCCTCCACAGAATATCCCGTAGATCCAGGCAAACATGACATAGCCGTGATAGTTGCCATGGACCGCAGTCAGTGCCAGGATGGACAGCCCACACATGAACACTGCAGCCTGGCAAAGGTACTGGCGTGCAATGCGGCACTCCACAGAGTTCTGCACCACCACCAAGCCAAACGCAGCGCAGCCCAGCGTCCAGGCCAATCCCAGGTATGTCTGCAGCAGCACGGCCACGTCGCCCAGCCCTTCCTGCTCCACCTGGTGTGCCTTTCAACACAAATGTAATACATGTAGTCTACACAAATTTATGCAGGCATTCAGAGCGATTACTACAAGCTGTTCAAGGCTCAGAGCAGCTAACGTCTGCAAAGTCTTCATGCACGTTCCACCAATTCAGTACCAACAACATTTGAGATGCAGAAAACTGAGTACAGACACACTACGTCACAACACAAACAACGTTTGTGCAGGCTTTAGTCAGAACATCTTGGAACTGACCAGGTAGAAGATGGGTGTGTTGATACCAAAGGAGCTGATCCCAGTCGAAACCAAGAGGATGCGCACCGTCTTACTGCGCAGCGTGCTGAAATCGAAGAACGGCGGTCTGTCGTCTACCTTGTTCTTGTCCTTGATCTTGCGTTTCTGGTTCTTGAGGTGCAAAATGGCGCGTCTCTGCGGATGATAGAGTGAAGCAGAGCGGTAGAAGGTGCCAAGGATGAAGGTGAGGAAGACGACTCCGGTAACGGCCTGCAGACCCAGCCGCCAGCCAACAGCACTGCAACGCAAAACCCGCGTTTACTGGAGCCCGCACACCCGCGCAACACTCGACTTCGCAATGCATTAAGAATACCTGATGGCGCCCCTGATAAATGCAGACATGACGGCTATCCCCAGTCCGCTGCCCGACACGATGAAGATCTCCACGAACTCACGGCGTCGCTTGAAGTACTGGGCCACCATCAGCGTGGAGCAGTCACGTGTCATACCAACGCCGATACCTACAACAGCTCCGTAGCTCAGGAACAGCTGGTGAAACTGCGAGGCGAACGACGTGAACAGACATCCCAGCGCGGTGACCAGTCCGCCCAGCACGGCGGTCACGCGGGTTGACTTCCGCCTGCAAAAGGCGATCGTCACAGGAGAGACGAGCAGAGCGACGGCGGTGGACAGCGCCCCCAGCCAGCCTGCAACAGAAGTCCGCGTAGTTTCTTGGTTCGAGGCGCCACAGACAGACACCAACGAATACGAGCGATAAATCAGATCGCAGCTCCCCTAGCGCCACAGCGGTGCGATTTCTGAAGCGACGCTCCGCCTTGACGGACTGTGCACCCGGGGTCAGCCACTCCTGTGATAATATAAACATGTATTCCCTCCCGCGCGCTCCGGTCGTCATTAAGTGGGCGGGACGCCTCATATCGGCTGATAACCATAATTACGAGATTCCTGAGCGTCGCACCACTGAAAGCAGCGAATGATCTGGACTAGCGCGCGGAGAGACGAAGCTGCGATCATCGGGCC